GAGTAACGTAACGGAATACGTTACAGAATACATTTTGGGGCATGTATTCTGTAATCTGTAATGGAATACATTTTAAAAGTAACCTTCCCAACACTGGTAATGATACACGGAAACTGCATCACGTGAAACTGCTCATGTGGTGTGCACCCTTTGCTGCTAACGGGCAAAGTTAGTTAATAAGTACAGTAAATGGTCATTCCGTGCAGATTAAAGCAGAATGAAAGATCAAAACAATAGCCAAGGTCAACTGATGAAATAAAATAACTAGCTATTAAAAAAGGTGCTATTCAATGCTGTGAATAGTACTATTCACAGCATTGAATAGTACTAATCACTGCTGTGATGCGTTTCTAAATTGTAAACGTTTTCACCTTGAAATGTAACAGTCGAATGATTTAGTAATCTACTGATACAGAAGACTTCTTATCTTACCAACTTCCATTCGTTCCACTGAAAATCCAATTAAAACAAGTAAGCCAAACTGCTTTCAAGTCATGATTCATATTTGTTGAGAAAGAAACAGCAAAAGCATTCATGTTTATGTATGCGTGCAAACTTCAAGCAAAGAAAAGTCAACAAACTGACCTGTGTTGAGGTCTCCATCGGTGAGTGACTCCAGGACGCTGTTCATGGCTCCCATGTAGAACAAAAGACGAAGCTGAGTCATAGACATGGTCACTAGACTGAGCAGGAAAACTGGAGTGATGATAGTTTTAAGGAATGACTGGGCTGCAGAGGAGAAACGAAGAAGGGTAAATTCAGTGGATTTAAGTAAAAAGTGCATACATGGGTTCAGCTTGATAATACTGCAGTCTTACATTCTTCTTGTGGCTTGCACTCCATTTCCAGGTCCATGGTAGAGAGACAAAGATTGTTTCCATCTTTGGTAGTCAGCTCCTTTTGCTTTGTGTTGGTGCCCACGCTCAGACGACGGCCCACTGTGGTCACTTGCTTGTAGAACTGCTGACCTGTGATTTTATGGTCGAAGCCAAGCCAGCTGAACTTGATCTTCACACTGAGGAAGCAAAGGATGAGAGAGAGATTAGAAGACTGGATAACAAGAATGGGAGTAGAGGGGATTATGTTAAGGGTAACAGAGAATTTAATCAATTTGCATGTGTGTTACTAACGTGTAGTCCATATCTTCTGGGCCTGGGAATGGTTCCAGTGGCCAGTTGAAGAAGCAGTTCGTGAAGACCAATCCTGCACAGGCAGCCCACACCACCAGAATGGTGATGAATGGTACGCCAAAGTCATAGATCACCTGTGTCCAAAACAAGGGCCAATAAATACAAAGTACAGTGCAAAAAAAGACATAGAGAAGACAGTTATATTCACAGTTCTTGGACTAAACCTGTCTGGGAATTCTAAGTTCTCACATGATTCTTATGGTGCACTTTGTTAATTGGGTTAGACAAAATCAAAGTCCTGTACTAATTGGCAGGAAAACCCACTCCTTGCGTTTAACCCATCCTGAGAATTAGAACCAGTTCTCCTAATACTTCTGATAATCCATTTGTGGACCAGTTCTAGATTTTGGCAAGTGCCTTGATTGCCAAGATTAAGGTGCCAGGAGAAAATACGTAGCCTTCAGTGTTTGTTACCTTGACGCCGGGAAAAGTGACAGCAGAGGATGCGTAGGAGCCGATCATCAGGGCGATGAAGGTTGAACGGAGGTCCCCAAACATGTTTGGTAGCTAAAAGAAAAACGAATGAAGAAACAGGGAAAGAGGCCATGAGCTTTACAGTGTTTGTGTTCTCTAGATTTTTGCTTTAGATTGCACAGCAACTGAGATTAGATATATTCAGTTATCTAAAGGAAAAAATGGGGAGGTCAACTGTTGTGCAGCTGCACTTAGTTTAGTTTGGGAGGGGGTGGAGGTAGGGGGTGTGGGCGCAGATTGGGGCACTATGAGGCTGGTACCTACTGACAATGGGGTCACAGTTTACAGTAAGACCCAATTAGTAAGCAGACTTGGCACCACGGCGCGAACATCAGAGAAAACAAAAATGCAACAGAGTGACATGAAACCAGCCCACCTCGGTGTATGTAAATATAAAACAGCATCACATAACACACACAGCTGTCCAACATATGACACTACTGATGAGTCCTTTACAGCTGAAACAATCGGACGGGTCGGCTGAGGCGAGGTGACATTTGAGGACATAAAGATGTCTTTAAAATACTTTTCTTTAAGAAGAAAAATGGATTTGGAAGCCAAAACGGGAGACAGCGGGTGACAACAAAACATCCGAATACAAAGGCATTCACAAGCTGTTCTGTTTTCAGGAGACTGAACAACAACAAGCTCATTCAATTACATAAGAGCGGGGAAAGCTAAGGAAGAGGTATGCGGTAGTGTTTGAGTGCTAAATTGAGAAGGCATGTGCACCCAGGATACCAGGATTTCCCAACACTTTAATCAGGAATAACTTGAAAACTCATCTCATTGAGTTTAAATGACTAAAGGTGCTGTGCACAAGCAACTGCTGGATGAAACCTAGAACGCGGAAGGTGAGCTGACATTGGCACTGAGCCAGTAGTGGCCACTGAGGGCAGCTGAGTGTTACCCAACATCCCTCAGCTGAGAATGAATGCTTTAAGGTCTGCGGAGAAGTCACGGACAAGCAGTCAAGGAACAGGTTGTGTCTAATGATTAACCCGACACTGAGGCTTTCTTGTAAATTGAGCTGCTGAGGAGATGAAGTGGAACTTGGTGTGAGGGAAACACATCTTTTTATGCACCACCTCTGGAGACTGACAGTAAAGGGAACAAACAATTTTTTAAATCAAGGTTTTACTATAACACTGATATGAATGGCCATGGCAGCAAGTAATGAGAGATACGACAAATACAACAGGACAAATAAAGGATGTAACAGCAAGAGCTAGTGCTGGTATAGAATCGGGATGTTTCACTGGGAGATTTAGTGGAGCAGAGGCCCTCTCCAGTGAACAGCATCACCATGGTAGAGAACTGGACTCCCATGTGAGTCACTGCAGGCTGAACTGATGTCAAGGCCAGAGAAGAAGCGGGGTGGATAATTGCAGGACAAGAATGCAAATAAATGATGATCTTTAGACTGTTTATCTCGGCTTTTGTATCCTTGCCTGTAGGGCTGATTACATTTAAACTGTTTCAGGTATAAAGGCTTTTTCTTTGCTCCAAAGAATCTGTGAAATTTGATGAACTGCATCGAAGGATATGACTTCAGGAATTAGGCTCTTAACTGAAGTTTTAGACTTCCAAGAGTGATGCTGCTTGTTTTTTTTAAAGTGGGAATTTTTGTGTTTAGGGTCTGTGTAGCAAGTCCATTAAGTCTTTGCAAGAACAGAGAAAGACGAGAGGATAAGTAGGAGAAATTCTTGATTCCTCCTTCATGTCCTTTGTGAAGCACAATAATATCCCTCTAATCAACTCCCTTACCTGCTATCTGACACTTGGCCGGGTAATCCCTAGGAACGTGTAGTTCAACATTAGAAAAAAGGCAAAGTTAAAAAAAAAGAAGAAAATTAAACAGGAGACAGGGCGGAACGTCAGACAAGAAGGGAGGGAGAAGGCGAGCAGGCAGGGAGCCAACAGGCTATTATAACAGAGCGAGTGAGACAAAGAGCTGTGTAGATAGAAACATACATCTGGACAAACATATTGCAGCAGGTGCAAGGACTCTATGGAACAAGGATAATAAAGCACACATCAGTTTGCACACTTACTGTGAGAGAGGTGAAGGTCATGCACATGCCCCCGAAGCCATTGAAAGTAAGAGCAATGAAGATAAGGACGGAGAGTTCTGCA